TAACTGATGTTTCTTTTATGCCTCAATGCGGGATACTTGATGCTATGTGATCCAGTCCATTTCTCTTGTTTTATGTCTATCTACACCTACCTATTTACTCTGGAATTCAACATTAGCACTAAGATCATAGCTTTGGCAAGTGTAAACCAGCATGGCTTCAGGGAAATCCCTGCATTTCCAGCCCAATTTATACCAGAGCAGATCTACCGCACCGTTCTGATCAGAAAGGAGCAACTCTAATCCTCTTCATTCTGACTCTATTCCATTCCTGCCGCTGTAAGTTCAAGAGCATCTGTTACTGTTACCACGGGTCTAAGAGCAGTTTTACCTCTACTTCTCCAGTTAGATGTTTCCTATTTTTATGTTTTCTGACCACTCATACCCTGCCAGCTGCTTCCTGTGCTTTGGCATTGGGGCTGGAACCCGGCCAGCAGGACAGGAGGTTGGATGTGCTCGTTCCCTCTCCCCGGGGTGTCCCACTGGATCCTGAGCTGCGCCCCAGGAAACCCAGGGAGCCACCTGAGGGGAAGCCACGTGACAAAGAAAGCGTGGGGGCTATAGGCCCTTCTGCAAGCCGTTACCGCCAACGCTGCCTGCCCATACTCAGCCACAGGAAGGTAGCACCGTGTGCTGCAAGCACGGAGCAGCAGCACAAGAAGAATCTCAGCAGGGAAGTGTCTAAGTTAGAAAAGAGGCTGCCAAGGAATTCAAGTTCCTAACAGTCCTATTACTTCATGACAGTGACATCTCAAGGGAATGTTTTTTGATTTGAGTATATTGTAATAGTGGGCAGTGCCTTTAAGGCGACTGCTTTTCACATGCAAGTTCTCCAACAGGAATGTGGGTGACACGAGGTAGCCAGCCCCGAGGGCGTGTTGTCTGCACTCCAGCCCTGGGAGCCGTGAGTCTGTTAAAATACCACAGAATATCTCTTGTCATATCCATGGAAAAGGGCCATCCTACTTATTATTACCCTCCTGATTCACTGCCAGGCTCTTTTGAAGCCAGTGAAGGACACTTCTTTGAGCATTTGGATTTGGTATATGGATGGAAATTTCTGCTATTCTGAGAAATGCAGGACTCAATATCTATGTTCCCGTGGCCTGACAGCACCCAAGATGGTGCTGCCAAGTGCTGGTCCTGGGCCTCAAGCTTTATGACCATCATTAGTTGTATGAGGCCCCCACGTCTCATTAGGCCTTGTCTGGTCTTGAACCTGTTTCAGCTTGATTGTAGCTGTATCTGCAAAAATTATTCAAGATATTTTTTTGCTGTGCTTGCAGCTAGCTCTACAGCCAGGTAAATGCTGTCGAGCTCAGCGCAGCTGCAAAGTGGTTTTGAGCTTGTTTTAGTTCCATCATTACCTTATTTATTTTAGCTTCAGTTTTGCTTAGCTTTGTGCAGCTGTGAATTTCTCCTGTCCCCCAAAAGAAGCCGTATCATATACAGAGAGGGATTACCACAACTAAGTAATTAAGGCACAACTAGTCATGTGGACCAACAGAAGAGAATCCAGCCCATAAACAATTACAGTGTTGAAATATATATATATAAACAAACTTTGAGTGAACCCAAAAATCTGGACAAAGAAGCCCTTACCAACAACAACATATTCCACCCCCCCAGCAAACGTGGTGACGGCATCTCCCTCTGATAATGTATAAGGGGTGAGAATGAAGCTTCACAGAACAGGACAAATGCTCGTGCATGTGGATTTTACCACATTATTAATGTTCCTTAAAATCAATCGGGCGACTTGGATTATTGTTGTAACTAACTGGCCTGATAATAAGCATGTGCTACGTTTTGATTAGACTGTCAAAACATTATTAGACTCAAAATAAATGCTGATTCTTGGATTCTTTTGTCAGGTATGTTCTTTTGGTTGCCTGTACTGAATTTTTGGATGTAAAAATATGCATGTGTGTATATATACACAGACAGTGATTTATAGAAGACTTTTATTTCACAGCAGCGTGCTGTGGAAATGATCACAGGGTTGATTCATGAATTTAAAGTAAATCAGATTGCGACAAATGCTGGAGGATCTGTGCACTGCTCTGATCAGCAGTAGATAGAGTATATAAAATATCTGTGAAAGGAATCCTCTGAATTCCAGAGTTAATAAACTTTTCTGAATGCACTCAGAAATGTGGAATTATATTCTTTCCATTACTTAAAAATATTTAACTACATTTTGTGCTGCCAAGATCACTACTCTTTTCATAGGAAAGATGATGCAAGACTAATAAGATGGCAAGAACTACTCTTCTAGGAAAAAGGGCCATGATAAATCAGCTCGGGGTTGATCTGAGTAATGACGAAGCTCTGAACTTAATCCTTACCCCACCAAATATCTTGTCCGCCTCCCTCCGCTTTTTATTGCAACTTATAAGAGTCATTATAAAGAGAGATGCTGGTTAGCTGAAAATCATATAAAAATTATCAGTGATGACCCTTTCCATGCTTTAATTGTTAGGGTCACATCAATTTCATTCTCATTGTAATTATTATCATCAAGCAAAGAGAATCACTCTTCATTAGCACTCTTTATAAGCATTCAAAAGAGGTTTCTGTGGGGAGCTAACAGAGAACAGTTTAGGGATTTTTTTTTTCTCAATTAATAGATTATTTTATTTTCCCTCCTGAAAATAGTAAGGTTATAAAATCTCCTTAGAAACCAGATCATGGTGAACAGCAGTCTTGGCGATGATGAGACAGATTTCAATCGAGCAGAGGTCAGGGACTGCCTTCTCATTGCATTATCAGACTAAACAGCAGAGGACGGTTCCTGCTCCACCCCGGTTCTGGCCACAAATCACCTGCCATAAGCTAAACCCAAGTCTTCCTTTTCCCCTGTTGCTTCACGGGCAACTTACTTCACCACTGTGCAATTCTCCACAGATGGGTTCTTGGCCACCCTGCGCTTCAGCGAGTGATCACTGGAAGTAAGAGCGAGATCCCCTATGGAAGATTTATTCAGGCTCGTAAAGGGTGTCCACTCACCTGGTGCTTCAGCCAGCAACCAGCACACGCTGCTGCCACCAACTCGCTCCATCCCCATCCCAAGCCAATGAAACCCACCAGCCCGATGCTGCTTGAGAAGAAGTGGTGAGAATGAGCAGCAAAGCAGGGGCCGAGCTGAACAGCAGCTCTGCTAACCGTGTCCCAGGGCGGCGAGAGCACAACAGCCTCTCCTGGCCTTCAGGGATTGCCAAAACCGCTCCAAACGCTTCAAGATCAAAAATCTTTTAAAATACCTTGCAGCTAAGCTCGGGATGGGAAATGTCTGTTCTGCGGCATGTGACAGTTACGGAGCAATGCCAAAGCCACGCTAGCCGCAGGTATCATGGCGAGCTCAAATCCTAAATCACTGCCCATCTTTTAACAGTCCCTGGCACACCTGGCTTGAGAACCTCTTCTGTCTTTGTGCACGGGCCGATTGCTATTTGACACATCACATCCTCTGGGCAGTATTTCACCTGTACTTTCCAGCATACATCTGCTTTCCAGCTCCTAGCCCCATATCAGTTTTTATCTTTTTTTTCTTCTTTTTTTTTCTCCACTGAATAATTAAACCCATCACCACATGGAAATCTAAAGCCCAGCATAGCTACCAAACTCTGTCCAAGCAGCAGCTTCATCTCTGTGTGTAGTGCCTTAGCTGTTAACACCTTCACCAGCTTGAATTTAACTCAGATGAGTAACAGGTTCCTAAAAAAAGTTGCAAGAAACCACAGACACATGTACATTGCACAAGAAACACGTCCCTTGTGCGCTGTGGATGTTTCTTTACACCTCCCCACCAACTAGCGGCTGGCTCTGAAGCATAAAGGTTTCTAATTCCTGATTTTCCTCTTCATCCTCCCCAGAACCACAGCAGATATTCTCATTAGTTGGTTTCCTATTAAGTTCCAAACCTTGAGGCAATAAGTGGCACAGGTTCATTATCTGGTTGTACTTTTAATTTTGATTGTTCAGTGCTTGAAAAAAAAAGGAACAGTAAAAATGTCTGAACGGTTTAATGACGTGGGATTCTCTGAGGGGGCTTCTAATGGGAAGCAAAGCCACATTCTCCCCATGGCATAAAGGACCAGTGCTAAAATAAACCTTATCATGAGCAATGATTGTTCCTTACAAGCTCTACAGAATCTTTTATGTTCCTAAGATTTTCACTATACACTTCTCATCCTTCTCTTTGCTGAAAGCATTTCAAAACCATTTAAAAATATAACAGCTTTATTTTCTTGTTCTTTTCTCTATTTTTGCAAGCAAAGCAGCAATTGATGTCCACATAACAGATCCAACAGATTTGCATCAAAAATATGTGACTTGAGAACAAAAATAAGGAGCCCTGTGACAAGCTTACTCTCTAAACTGACAAATATACTGCATTCATCATCTCAATATAATGAAATATTTAATACTACAGGCTATTTGCAGTTTACTTTTACAAAGCCACTGACAACTCTGAGAAAACTGTGAAAAACATACTAAAGAATTCTGCTGACAAACTACATTTTCAAAAGCAAGAGTCCTTCTATTTTCATGATCAACTAAATTGGCATTAAGTAAATTCTCACTGTGACTTGGACTACGCTCACATATCCAGTAAATCCATTTGCTTGTAACTTCATAATTCCAAGTGCAATACCAGGAACAAAGAACGCCAGAACCCCAGTTGGTGCAGATGAGACTTAAAAGAGGAATTTTTCAGAAACCTGTGCCGACAAGAACAGCCTAATCTTGCAGGTATCCAACCAGAGAGGTTCCTCACAGTGTTATAGCTCACACTAAAATACAAATGTGATGCCCGGGGAAGGAAAGTGAGGATGACACTGGCAAAAAGGAAGGATGCAGAATGAAAAGGAAGAGGAAAGTTCCCCTTTACAGCATCCAAGTGACGTGGGGCCGTCGTACACTTCAGAAGAGCGAGGTACAAAGGGAGCTCGAGTGAGATGCAGCACCGCAAAGCCCAAGACTGCATCCAAGCATGGGTGCACACAGGCAGGGGCTGGAGTCCTCTAACCAAATGGAGACATCTGCAATGCAGATCTCTACATCTTCCTTAGCTCCCAGAATGAAAAAAAACAAGAATGTAGCCACTGGGATACATGATTCATTAGTATACAGATGCTTGAACTGCACTGTTTGCTTTCACCTCTATTAAGGGAACCACGTGCAACTAGCTCGAAGGTAAATATCCATACTGCTGCTTTTAAAAAATTAGGTGATGTGAATCCAGCCTAAGAAGTCCTAAGCTCTTGTCTCAACAAATGCATTGTTGTTTTGACAAAGAGACGTTCAACAATGTTCTTTTTGGGGGGGATACGGCAGTAAATGCAATGTAGGAACTCTCATGATGTAAGTATTCAGCGGTATCTTTGAATGCAACTTTGTATTAAAAGAATTCCTATAAGTCATCAGAATGCTAGTGTAAATCTGGAAAACATGATAGAAAACTCTGATTTCATAAAGCAAAGTTAGTCCAACGCAAAGTTAGTCCAACTGCTAGAACTTCGAGCATACAACCAGCTGCTAAGAGCAGAACCTTAAAGCAATCTTCAATGAAATGACATACACATCACACACACTGTTACTGACCTTATGTTGGATATAGAGCCTGGATGTAATGATTTCACTACTGGTAGTCTGTCAGTGCCTTCTAAATTAATCTGTTTTACATTGCTACATGCCTCATTCCATTTGTTAAAACTTAGGGCTGTGTACATACTCATAACAAACTTGTCATCAACAACTACTCGAGAGCTCTATCAAAATGGTTTGTCGAGCCTTCTCGTGAGCACAAATTCATTTTACATCTACATCACTTAGTCTCAAGATTGTGAGCAGATGAAGTCGCAGGCAACTTCTGGAAAGTGGCAGAGAAGAAAGATTGAGCCTCAGCAGGACCCAGCTGAAAAATGATGGGTCCAGATGGAAGATCACCCTGTGAGCTCACGCTGTCACCAGTCTACACAGCTTCCAACCACACTGTCCACATCAGGCAGATAAACTGAGCCAGGCTCTTTCCAAAAGTCACTAACATTGCTAAGTTGTTGGTGCCTTTTAAAACCCAAGTTACATTATTATTCTCATTATTAAACATTTCATTCCAGAGACACTCATATCCACGGTGAACAAGATGTTCAACATGTTCAAAACAACCAACAAACAGAATTAAAAAAATATGGAAAATAGGACCAGAAAGACCTTGAGAAATTATTTTGTCTATCTATCTCATTGCCCCAAGGATGGTTGAATATGTAAACTTCTCCCAACAGATCCTCTTTTGACTACTGTTACACAACTGCTTGAAGATGTTCATGACTTTGTCAGGCAACTTATCCAGGACAAAGTTTTCCCCAAGGTTCAGCCTAATCTCCCTCATTACGATGAGGCTTGCTCAGAAAACACACCAAGATTTTTCTTTTGATCACAAGTCTAGTGGAAAGGTGTCTCATAAACATGCCCAGTCTAGATATTGTGTAAAAGAAAGGAAAAGAGTGAAGAGCAGAATGGCCTGAGCTATTCAGGCTGCACACGCTTAGGAAGGGGCAGCAGTGTCACCATCTGCTGGAAGGAGCAAATTTAACTAATGTTTCAGTTGCCACCAAAGGAGGAACAAGACATGGCTTTGGTAGACATGTAACAATAATGAGAACTTGTACAATGCCCATTTACAAAAGCAAAAAGCTTTAGAGCCAACATAGGCAACAGAGCAGAATGAATCTACCCTGACAGTCATAATAACAGGAATTTCAGATGTTTTGTATTTCATATATTAACCATGGGGATGGATAATACAGCCCAACCCTTTTAAAATTCACCTCCCTCCTGTCACAGGCCATCTGCCAACCAAGCTACTGCGACAGGAGTGGCAAATTCCTCCGCCCAAGCACAGCAGTCGGAGCAGATTTCCTGTAGGTGAAGATGGAGGGTCTGCTCAAAGGATAAGGCCACCAGGCAGACTTGCTCTTCGTGATCTGTTGATGAGTTTGGAGGGGACAAGAGTAAAGAGAATGTGAAAGGCTGATAATCAATTCATGAACAGATTGGTTTCCCGCAGAAGAGGAATTTAGCACTTCTTCATCGTCACCGCCTGGTCAGATGGTGCTCCTGCTCTGTGGCAGTTCTAAGACAGCTAACATTAACAGTAGGCATTTGCCTAATATTCTTTTTCAATGTTAACAATTGCTGTAAGAGCTACAGGGGTCCTGCAAGCGGGGGAACGGGAGGCCTCCACACACAGTTGGACCGGGAACGTCTTGTGGCAGAGCTCGGGCGTTGGAGACAGATCTGCTTCGTAGTCTGCAGGAGTGCGAAGCAGCGCGTTATTCCCTAGAGGGAGCATGAGATCACCGGCACAGTTACTTGAAAGACAACTAAGGCAGAGAGCAGTGTCTAAGTGCATTTAGCAGCACCAATTTTGCTCTCAGTGCCATCACTTTGAGCCTTTTTGAGGGCTCAAGTTGATAGTGTGGTGGAGGCAAGTGTCTAATTTCAGTAGCCTTCAGTGTCATTTTTGGTGATGACAGCCTAGTCTCAGAGAGGGGCTGAGGGTTAGGATACCAATTAACACCATCCCTTCACCACTGACTAATGTTCTTGTAAGGCTTTGTAGAAAGAAGGTGTTCAGATACAGCAGGACAACAGCCAGCAGGGCTCCTGTAGCCACATTTTGTTGGTTCTAGCAGCAGAAGGAAGTTGGGAACTGCAGCTACTGGAGAGAGCCCAGTGTAAGGTTACAAAGAAGATTAGGGGCCTGGAGCATGTCTCCTGGGGGAGATGCTGGGAGAGCTGGGGCTGCTCAGCTGGAGAAGAGGAAGAGAAGGGAAAGCTCTGGGAGAATCCCACCAGTGTGTAGAAATATCTAACGAACAGGAGGGTATGAAGAAGATGGAGCCAGAGTCTTCTCAGCAGTGCCCTGTGACAGGCAGAGAGGAAACGGGCACAAACTGATCAACAGGAAATTCTGCCTGAACCAAGGCAAACACTGCTGCTCTGACAGGGTACTGGAACATTGAAACAAGTTGTTCAGAGCAGCTCTGGACTTTCCATTCTTGGAGATATTTAAAACCTGACCTGGAAACTGTTCCAGGAAACGTGCCTGTGCTGACCCTGCTTGAGCAGAGGGTTGGACCAGGTGCTCTCCACATGTCTCTTTCAAGCTCAACTAGCCTGTAATCCTGTGAAGTCACTCATTGTGCCCTGACAGGTATTCCCACCTCCAGGTTTTACCGTGAGCAATATCAGGATTCTGCAGCTTCCCCTTTCCAAAACTGTGGCCACAGGGACAACCTCATTTTCCGAAACATCAAGAAAATTCAGCCAAGAGCTGCACTCCCTTGCAAATGTATCTATCTGCAGATCTTGTTTGCAGCAGTGGAGCACAGAGCTGAGGAGAGCACCTGGCCTTGCTGAGGGAACTCTATAGGCAACCAACACAACAGCACACCCCCCATCCGAGAGCGCTGCACCCAGGGAGACCCTCTTTCCTAGGGCACATCTCCCCCAGAAAAGAACAAAACAAAACAAAACACATATATTTTAACTGCAGAACAATTTGTGGAATTTTTCCCTTGTAGCAACAAAGTGGCAACAAAACCCTCTGGTTCCTGCGGAGGTAGCAGAGGTGGCTCCTGGTTGGCTTCCACGTCCGTGCTGAGGGTTCCACAGTGGAGGCACTGCTGGACGATGGCTCTCTCTCCAGAGGAAGCAGATAACGCACCCATGCTTGTGGCAGCACAGAGGGACCCGCTGTGTCCCCTGGGCTCCTGCCAATGCAGCGCCAACGTCTCTCCTCCGCGCGGCAATCACACCCCCATCGAGCTGCCAGCTCAGCAAAGCAGTTCCCCGGCTCCTCAGATAACACATTTCTTATCACGGTTATTTCCCTACTCTTACAATGACAGTGCGTGTGAAGAAGTCAATTGTAATCCATAAGTGAAACTGTAACATTGTATTCACAGTATTTTGTAGCTATCAGCAGCCTATATTTTGCAGTCCGCTCAAAGCTGGCATGGCAAATATTGCACTGTAACACTGAAACCTTCACCAGTATCTAACAGGTATTTTCCAGATATATTTGTTTTTTGTTGTAAGAAAAGACCACAAGCGCCATTACTTAATGCCTCCTTGGAGTACATAAGGCTGAGCAGCAAAAGTGATAATCACCATGTGCCTGAAATTGGTACGTTTTATTAGACCTGGCATGTCTCATGAAAGAGATTGTGGAACGTAGGCTGCTTCATGGATTATTCCGCAGTTGTTACTGTGGAATCATAACTGAGAGCCTGGTACCATTACAGAGCAGCTGCGAGCACAGAGCAAGCACTTTATATTTAATAGAAGTGGAATACTGGCTCCTCTTGCTACCAGCCCTGCTAACTGTAGAACGCAGCAGCACTCTGCAGAGTGTTCCCAGCTGCCAATCAATTATAAACAACATGAATGAACCCCTATTTAGAGAAAACAAGATTGCAAAATCACAGTGATACATACAGCCTTGTACCAGCTGTTTTTGTTGCTAAGTCTGCATTTTCAACCATTGGTGATGTTATCCTTCCCCAACTTTGTCTTGGGTAGATGGATGCTGGTGTCTATGATGTTTTGCCTTAGTTACAAGACCGCAAAGTCCCTGTCCTTTTCATCCTTACAGCTTTTGGCCTGATTGACCATCATGCAGCTTCTCCTGTGTCTAAGAAGTCACAAATTCACGTTGCTTGCTCCTGTCTGTCCCCCTCCTCTGAGTCATTACTTATCCCAGTGACACTTGAAAGAACTTCACCATCTTCAAGATGCCTGTCTTACTGCCAAGGTTGGAACTGGTCAGTAAATTAAAAAAAATATGCATATTAGTGGTATGGTCTGCCACAGAGACAAAGACACAAGTGGGATGATCACAGAAGTCAGGCTATAAAAAATCAGTGTGTGATGAGAATGCATTTGATTTATAACAGTAACTTTGCCCTAACCATCAAAACTATTTTCAAAAGCAGAAAAAAAATGATTTGAGATATAAAGAACGTAAGGCTCCTTTCCAAACATTTTCATTATATTTCTTTACTACAGATATGTTAGTTTACTTGGAAACATCTTCCAGAATAACACTTCGTATTTAAGCAGGGATCTCTAGAGGGTGTTAGTTCTGAAAGCAAACAGAATATTACAACACAAGCTACTTCTAATTCACAACAGCAACTGAACTAAAATGATATTTTTCTTTGCATATTTACAGTTGCAGAAAAATAGCATTGCAGAAATACAGCTGGAAATAAGCAACCTTCTGTTATTCTGGGCCTGTACAGTTAGTTAAAGCAGCACAAACTGGGTACTTATCATTGCAACCCTAATTGAAGTGAACATTTCAGACAGGTATGACCACAAACTGCTCAGCTGTGGGTAAGTCAGGCCTAAACTTACTCATTTGGGACATACAAAGCTGATGCCAATATTCTAGTAAAGTTATGCTGTGGCTCTAAAGGCTCTGAAAGAGACATCTTTGTCTGAAAATAATATACTATTATTTTCATTAACGAACACCCATATTTATTTTTCTGATTTCTTTCACCTCAGTTTTCTCAGGTGTGATGCTAAGCAATGCCAAACAATGGCATCCGTGACAAAAGTAGGAATTATTAACAGACTAAATGAAAAAACAAATGTGACAAATATAATTTAGTGACTAACACACAGGCCACTTATAAGATCTGCAGATGTATTTATGCATCTGAATATCCACATAGACACTTAAAGGGATATTCCAATGCACTAAACCAAAGCCAACAATCAAGTATCTAAGACTGTATACTTAGGTACATAAGTTAACACCTTTGAAAATCTGGATTTTAGACTTTCCTGAAAATTTTGCTATCCCTTTAATTAAGCATAGTACTGGATTGTAAACTAGAGGAAGTTTCTTACAAAGGTATCAACGCTGTTCAAGTTAATACTGTGCCTTGTTGATAAGGCTACCTGGTGAGCACCGCTACAGAGCCAATACATCCCAATAATCATGACACTGTGGCAAGCAGGCTAATAAATATTCATATTTTACTTAATGTCAATTTTACTTAAAAAATGCCACTATTAATGTCTTCTAGTATTATTGCTCCTGTGAAACAACTACATATTGTGAATCTAATCACACAAAGGAAGTAGATAAGTAAAGTTAGTGTTCCACACACCTGGGGAAAAAGATTTCAAAACCAGAAAAACCTCAGAAAGGACTAAATGATATATCAGCTGGAGAGAAGAGTCTTTAAAAAGTATGCAGCTGTTTATACATTCAAGTCGTATCAAATGTCTGCTTCAGAGGAAATGTCTTTACATGCAGTAAGACTGACCCAGACTAGTTAATGCAGGTCCCCGGAAAGCGAACGGATTCCGGGAGCGCCGGACACCTGAGCTTTCAGCTATTCCAACATCCACTGCTGGGCTGCTCGGCCCTGCTGAAAGCTGCACCTTGCTACAGCAAGGCAGTGTCTACAGACAGATATAAAGATCTATCAGTGGGATCACAGGTTTCCTTATCATTTTTCTTACACATAAACAAAACCCCAACCCAAAGCCTTTGCCCAGGCAGTTTTGACTATGAAGAGGGCTAAATGCCAGAGACTTGGTGACAGCAACACAGGACTCTGCCTGTGACCAGCTAGTGTGGATACAGTGACAGGTGCCCGCGATGGCCCCAGTGCAGACTCAGCATTGCCAGCCTTTCCTAACACACTCCTTGGGCTTCCCCAGGTAGTTCCTCACTGGCAGGCAAGGAGGTTCCATGCAGCAAACCTGCCGAATATGAGCTATGTAACAGCTGCAAATTTTACACAGAGAAAGCTTGGATGATGTCGACCAGGCTATCAGAGACATCTGAATGGTGTTGTATGAAAGGAAGTCAAGCCCATGAGCACTAGAAAACACAACACTAGGAAAAAGTAAAATCAGTAACAGTGTCAGGAGGAATCTCTTCCCCAAGTGTTCACGATGTCCCGTTGGATTCAGAAGCCATTACCCAACGTCTGCGTGTTCACGGAGCAGCTGTTCCACTGCTAATTGCTCTGCCAACAAATTGCTTTTTTCCAATTAAGGTTTTATTATAGGATTTCTCATTGCAAAGAGAAATAGATGTATTTCAAATTTAGAAAGACAACAGAATGGTGCAATTATCCCCCAACCTTCCACCAGGACATAAATCAGAATCCATAATCCCAAGGTTTTACAGGTTCTTTTGAGTTTAGCAGATACTTAGGTAAATACTTCTTCTGTGAGGGTGCGTCTCCACAAGAATACTCTGATTAGTCATTTTAAATTGGTCTGCCTCATGCCAGGCATTTAAATCT